TCTGTTTAACCTAGTATTGTCTGATTTTCTTGCTCTTCTTGCTCATGGGTTTCTCTGAGATGACACTAATTAACATCTTGAAGATACTATTCTAAAAAAAAAAAAATCCTCTTGAGGGAGCTCTTCCTTCAAGTACATAGTATGACTGAGTTTATTTGAGCAGCAGGAGCTTAATGAATGGGATTAGAGTGAACTGCAGTGTATTTCTAAGAAAAACTTAGTCATACAAAAGTCTAAAACTATGCTCACATTTTGCCCATTCTGTAAAGAAATAATGTTACCTTTTTCTTTTACCCTTCTTCCTTAATTTGGTGCTCATCCATCTTTTTGCCATTAGTAAACATTTAATATGTTTGAGCAAAGTGGACACAGACACATACACCACTAACAATGTGGTCTTTAAATAGAAAATAAGATCTATTGAGTAAAACTTACAGCAGAGAAGCTTTAAATCATTCACACGTCTTCCAATCTCTCATTATTTTGTAAATAGATATGTTTAGGCCGGATACACTGGCTTGGATACACTAACACAGAGGACTACGGAAGAGAGATCACACCTTGGGTAATATTTTACATCTTTATATGAAAAGGAAGAAAAGGCACCTAGAACCTAGACTTGACTGTTTCACAAGTTACTATTTTAAAATATGATAGTTAGCCTGGGACATTTACCCACTAAGCATTTTTTTTTTAAGATTTTATTTATTTATTTGACAGAGAGAGACACAGCGAGAGAGGGAACACAAGCAGGGGGAGTGGGAGGAGGAGAAGCAAGCTTCCCACTGAGCAGGGAGCCCAATGTGGGTCTCAATCCCAGGATCCTGGGATCATGACCTGAGCCAAAGGCAGATGCTTAATGACTGAGCCACCCAGGCGCCCCTCATGAAGCATTTTTTAACTCTCCCAGGAAGAGGTACCTTCCTCCTTTGTGTTCCCATAATATTTTGAATAGTTTCCTATCTCTTCAAAGCCCTTTTCCTCATCTACTCTTATTCCCATCTTTATCTTCACATCTATACTGGCTTTTTTTTTTCCCCAACATAAATCTATCTCTGCCATATTTAAATGAAAATGAAATATCTAGAATATGCATTTTCTGCTTACCATTAAACTCTTCTGCTTACAAAGTAACGTATATTTTGCAGATTATTATGTTGAATTCATTACAATAATAAATTTTCTTTACCATTCCATTGAAACTCCTCCTCCCAGGTCACTGAAAGTGTCCTACTTAGGAAATGTAGAGGCTACTTTCAAACTCTTGATCATCTGTCTTTTCTCTTGCATTTGACATGGTTGACCACACATTTCTTCTCTTCTTCTGCTTTCTATTAATGTTTAGCTATCTCCAATCTCCCAAAGTGAATATATAGTATTTCCAAAATCTGTGCTGTTTTTGAAATTTCATATGTCAGGAAATTATGTTTTCATGCTTTTGGTTTTTCCAAGAATAGCTCCTAAAAACTTGGAGTCTTTCTTGATACCTCCTTTCTCTCACCTACCATTTCCATCAAGAATAATCAATCCTTTATCTATACTGTGTCTTAAGTTCTTTTTTTTCTTAATACTTTCCCTTTATTAAGTCAGGGCATCACTATTTTTTTCCCCTCTGGATTATTAATAAAGACTGCTTCTAATATCTCACTTCCTTCTGTTAAGCACTCTTTAAACTATTCACCCAATTGTTACTAGAGGGAAAATCTTTACTTGCTGAAAATCACTCACTGTCTACAGCCATATTGACAAACCTGCCATTTCCAAAACTCCATAATCTCTTTTTCTTCTCTGTTTTACATGATGCCCCATCTACTGCGATTGCTTTTCTTCCCCTCCTTTACCTGATAAACTCCCTGCCCTTGATGTCTCGGCTTAAAAATCACGTGCTCTGAGAATTCTCCCTTATATCACTCACTTCTATTTTATTAAGATGCCTTGATAATATGGCTCTAGATTATCTTCTTGAGATGTTTCAAGTATTTATTTCATGGATTCCTTGTAAATGGATTCCATGTTTCTTATTTTCCTAACCATAGAGCCCAAAATGTATTTGCTTAGTGAAGGAATATGGTAAAACAGTGAACTGTCATATTCTAATGTAACTATTTGTTCATAAGTTCTCCTCACTTAATCAAATTTAATGTACAAGAACCATATTTTGTTTATTTATAATCCCAGTACACAGAGCATAATGTGCAGTTTTTAAAATATATTGAATAAATGACAAGTGGAGAGGTGGCAACTTGGAGAATAAACAACTCTGAAATGAATGCCATTAATAATATTTTCTTTTATATTTAAATTTGGATAGGTAAGATCAAGAGGATGCTAGCATAGCATTCGTCCTGTAAAAATGCAAAAAAGTCTTTATTTCTTTTTTTCAAATTTTAATTGCAGTATAGTTAACATACAGTGTTATGTTAGTTTTAGGTGTACATATAGTGATTCAACAATTCCATACATCACCCAGTGCTCAACATGACAAGGGCATTCCTTAATCCCCATCACCTATTTCACCCATACCATATGGTATTTGTCTTTCTCTGACTGACTTATAACTTAGCATAATACTCTTTAGTTCCATCCATGTTATTGAAAATGGCAAAATTTCATTCTTTTTTATGGCTGAATGATATTCCATTGCATTTATATACCACATCTTCTTTATTAACCTGTTGATGGACACATGGGATGCTTTCATAATTTGACTATTGTAAATAATTCCACTATAAACATAGGGGTGCATGTATTCCTTTGAATTAGAGTTTTTGTATTTTGGGGGTAAATACCCAATAGTGTGATTATTGGATCATAGGGTAGTTCCATTTTTAACTTTTTGGGGAACCTCCATACTGTTTTCTAGTGGCTGCAGCAATTTGCTTTCCCATCAAAAGTGCAAGAGTGTTCCTTTTCCTCTACATCCTCACCAACACTTGTTGTTTCTTGTGTTTTTGATTTTAGCCATTCTGACAGGTGTGAGGTGATATCTCATGTGGTTTTGATTTGCATTTCCCTGATGATGAGTGATGTTGAGCATATTTTCATGTGCCTGTTGGCCAATTGGACATCTTCTTTAGAGAAATGTCTGTCCATGTCTTCTGCCATTTTTAATTGGATTATTTGTTTTTGGATGTTGAGTTTTATAAGCTCTTTATATATTTTGGACACTAAACCTTTATTGGATATGTTATTTGGAAGAATCTTCTCCCATTCTGTAGGCTGCCTTTTAATTTTGTTGATTGTTTCTTTTGCTGTGCAAAGCTTTTTATTTTGATGTAGTCCCAATAGTTTATTTTTGCTTCTTTTCCCCCTTGTCTCATGAGACCTATTTAGAAAAATGTTGCTATGGTCAATGTCAGAGACCTTACTGCCTGTGCTCTTTTCTAGGATTTTTATGATTTTTGGTCTCACATTTAGGTCTTTAATCAATTTTGAGATTTTTTTTGTGTATGGTATAAGAAAGTAGTCCAGTTTCATTCCTTTACGTGTTGCTGTCCAGTTTTCCCAACACCATTTGTTGAAGAGACTTTCTTTGTCTCATTGGGTATTATTTCCTGCTGTATCCAAGATTAACTGACCATATAATTGTGGGTTTATTTCTGAGTTTTCTATTCTGTTCTATCGATCTATTTGTCTGTTTTTGTGCCAGAACCATACTGTTTTAATTACTACAGCCTTGTAATTTAACTTGAAATTTGGAATTGTGATACCTCCAGCTTTACTATTCTTTCTTCTTTTAATATCTTGAGGAAATATTATTAATTTCATTCCTTTGCATACCTATTTAATTGGTTCACTTTTTCTATATTATGTTTGCAATTTCACAGTGGATTTTCCAAGAAATCACAGGAAATCTGTCTTTGGGTTTAGCTCACGTAACAAAGTTCTTCATTATGATATCTCAAAAAGAATGAAAGAATAAACAAATCAGTGTAAGTCTGAATAAAATGGTAATACAGTAACTTTTTCTAATCAAACACTTGCCTCTGAAAAAGCATACTAAATGTTTAATGTGAAATTTGCTAGGTTATTTTAGGTACTATAATGTAAGGCTCACTAAAATTCAAAATGGGAGGCACCTGGGTGGCTCAGTCATTAAGCATCTGCCTCCAGCTCAGGTTATGATCCCAGGGTCCTGGGATCGAGACCCACATTGGGCTCCCTGCTCAGTGGGAAGACTGCTTCTCCCTCTCCCACTCCCCCCTGCTTATGTTCCCTCTCTCGCTGTGTCTCTCTCTGTCAAATAAATAAATAAAATCTTAAAAGAAAAATAAAAAATAAAACTCAAAATGGGTCTATCCCTAAAACTATTTTACTTTGTTAAAAATGATATTAAAATGCTGTTTTTTAAAAACGCTATTAATGACGTCCCATTTTATTAAAAATGTTATTTATTGGGTGCCTGGGTGGCTCAGTTGGTTAAGCGACTGCCTTCGGCTCAGGTCATGATCCTGGAGTCCCAGGATCGAGTCCCGCATCGGGCTCCCTGCTGGGCAGGGAGTCTGCTTCTCCCTCTGCCCCTCCCCCCTCTCATGTGCTCTCTCTCATTCTCTCTCTCTCAAATAAATAAATAAAATCTTTTAAAAAAATGAGAAAGAGATCAACTTTAGTACTGCCTGTAAACTGAGAAGAATATGGAAAGAAGGGGTATAATTCCTTGTACTTTTGCTTTGGTGGTAGAGTTTATGGTTTAGGTAAAGACGTAACTCAGCATTATGCCTGCTCTTTTCCTTTATTTTATTTCACTTTACTGTACTTTTATTTATTTGTAAATAGGTGACAGCAATACAAGAAGTGTCTAGCCTTTCTGGAGTGTAAATTTTGATTAATTAAAATATCTTAGACTATATTAGATGTTTACTTGACATTGGAAATGTAGTCGACTATCAAAGTATTTCTCTTCATCACAAAAATTCCATATATTAAGGATTTACACAATCCAGGAAAAAAACAAAAAACAAAACCCTAGAAACATTTTTGTTGCCTGAGCAAGTAATTTTCTAAAAAGGCTCTCCAAAATCTTGACTAGAGGTGTCATACTCTGCAATGAAATGCTTGAGTTCTTCAACACACCTCTCACCTATTTCATGTAAATTCTTTCTCAATGCAAACTGTATAGACTTTTCTAATGAAGGATCTTTTTCAATCAGCATTTTCACAACCATCCCAAAAGTTTCACAGTCTTGTCGGTAAACCTGTCCAATCTCTTTCGGTTTTGATGCTACTGCTTTAGAGAGACTGCTTAGTTGACTGTCTTCAAATAATTCTATGCCATCTGTTGCATTTGACTCAGGTTCCTCTCCCTGCTCAATAAACAATGGTGCTGTGGATCCTGTCTCATACTCAATTTCAGGTAAGTTACACTCATCTGCCTTCTCTAGCTTTTCAGCAGCGCACTTGCTTGCAAACTCAGCGTTCCTTTTTAGTTAGCCTACTGGGTTTGTCTAACATCTTTGATGGAGGAACTGCTGAAGAACATGAGGGTGAGGTGTCTCTTGATGTTTTCAAAGACTGAACAGGTCTCTCTTTACCTCTTTCTGGATTTCCTTCATTCTGCCGTTTGTAGGAGGCACCAGCACAGACGGACTTTCTATGTTGAGCTTGATGGAAAGAGTACATTTTGCTTCTTTCTGGAGAGTAGCTTTTGCTACTGACACGAGCCAGACCTGCTGTGTGGAGAATCCATTCGACCTACAGGTAATTATCTGAAAAAAAGGAGTATCTCTTTTATGAGGAGACCGGTTTCTCATGTAATGGGAAGAATAGAAACTTTTTCTTCTAAAGCCATCTCTCATGTCCCTGTACTCAGGCTGTCGACTTGCAGAATGATCATCTCTTGTCCACCTATAGCCAGATTCATCTCCTCTGTGAGGTGGACCACTTCTTCGATCATGAGAAAAACTGTGGCCCTTGTCATATTCTTGGTAATCAACATGACTGTAATATCTATTGTAGCTTCCTTCACCAGGTCTGTCTAGCAGTGATGGTTTCTTTGGCACAATATTAACTACTCTATGGTAGCCATCACTGGGGTGATTTTGAGGAGGTACTCGTTCTCTTGGAAGTCTTTCATAGTCGTATCGTCCTTCAGACCACATTTCATCCCTTCTGTAAGCCATTGAGTCCTTTCAGGAATCAAATTTAAAGTTTTCAACAATCTCCGACTCTGGGCTGCGGGGAGACCCCATAAATGATTCCCTGTACATCTTTACGGAGACCAAGTGGAATGCCATTTCTTAAAAGAGCCCTTTCTAGATAAGGAAGGGAGAAGAATTTATCCTAAAGCTCCCTGCTAAAACCGGCCTTCCATTGGTCAATGTCCCCATGGACATAATGCACCTACATATTATATATCAAAACTTCTCCAGCCTGTCATTAGGCAAGCCAAGTCCTCTGTGGGCCCATTCTGGCTGGTGCGCTGATGCAATGGACTTGCCTTGTCAATCAGTCTTGCCAATATGGGGTTCTTCAACTGGTAGCAGCTGCAGCAGCAGCAGTGACCTGGCTTCTTGGTCATTTTGAGCTTGTTTAGGACCATAACAGAAAATATTTAGGTTCTTATTAGGTCCAGGCTGAAATACTATAACTTTTTCTCATTCAGCTTCTCCTCATGCTCAATTTCAAACCAAAGTTTGACTAAGATATTCCAAAGATGTGAATGGTATGACCTCATCCAAATGATAAGCAGATATTTAAGTTTCATAACTATGATATGCAGTCCAAGAGTTCTTAACAGGCAAAACATTCACTAGTCTAAATTTCTAAGACAATTTGGCTTCTACAAGTGTTAAGTTGTATTAGTTGATCAATTTCATAGCCGTAGTCACTAAATGTTCATTTTGTGGATTCATCTTAAGGAATTATTTGCCTACTGAGGGAATATCCTTTCTAACCCAAGATTGGCTCTTCATAGAAGAAGCAATACAAAGTAAATTGCTAAATATTCTGGAAAGTATTAGGCAAGTGTAATTACAATTGTTTGAAACAGAGGGTTTGCTAACTATCTTTAATTACTGACATAACTTAAGTGGTAAGTATTGAGGAGGCAGCCACCATGTACCCAAACTAACATACTTTCATAACTTGTTTAGCTGTTGAATCCAATGAAGTATAAGCTCCATTAAGACAAAGAATGGCTCTATTTTATTCACCCATTATATAGTAGGTCCCTAAAACATATTTATTGTGGCTAGAATCACTAGCTACTTAGAGGTGGTCTAAATAAACACCTCTTTCCTGTTCATTTTACCAATTTAAGTCATGTTGCCTATTGTCAGTTTTGTGTTCTGCTTTCTTGTGCAAATGCATGTTTTTTTTTTTTTAAAGATTTTATTCTTATTTACTTTAGAGAGAGAGAGTATGCACAAATGTGGGGAGGAGCAGGGGGAGAGGGAGAGGCAGAGGATCCCAAGCAGACTCCTTGCTAACCATGGAGCCCCACATGGGGCTTGATTTCACAACCCATGAGATCATGACCTGAGCCAAAATCAGGAGTCAGTCACTCAACTGAATGAGCTACCCAGGTGCCCCTGAATCTTTTATATATATATGTGTGTGTCTTCTTTCTCTCTCCCTCTATTCTCCTTCTATGTAAATATGCATATATACACATAATGTCTATATCTGTTCTATAATATACATTGATAAATGTCATATATATGCAAATATATATTAAGTTCAACCAATTAGAATATATACAAACTATCATTTAATACCTACATTGTGGAGTCATTCATATTGAGATTTGTCTTATCACCCAAAGAATCTTCTTAAATTTACCCATTTCAATCTTGGATAATATTTTTTTTCAGTGCAAACACATTACATTGTTTAAAGATAAACCAATGCCTGGGTGAAAATTTGTTACTGGCATGACAGGAGTTACATTAAAACTAAAAATTGACTCTCATAACCCAGATCTATAAGTGAATGTAAGCAGATTAAGCAGGGTCTTTAACTTCTCTCTTTATTGCCAATCATAAATAAATACTGACTAGAAAAATGTCCTTGGAAAAGCTTGGTCTCTGGACTCTGAGAGACTTGAATTTGAAACGTGATCCACCATTTTCTTGCAATGAAACTTTAACAAATCAATCCTTAGTTTCCTCATCCAATAAATGGAGGTATTTATTGGACCACATTTTCAAGGATAGTGTGGAGTCAGATAGAACAAATTATGTGGTATATAGTAGGCATGCTACATTTAGATATTTGTACAAGAGACATAGAACCATTGAAGTATTTATATGTAATCTATTTTGGAATTTAATTCTTTTGACATTTTCCCTTTGTGAAATGCTAGGCCATTTTCTTCTCTTGACTTGACTTTTCCTCTTCCGTAGAAGAACAATATAAGGATTATGTTGAATCTCCATGGCTGGGAAAAGATAGTCTGTATATGCAAATATGTTAAATGAGAATTTTTCTGTTGTTACAAGTTTGGGCAGAGATCCCAGTGGGTTCCTGTGGAAAGGTAAAATGAGAACTACATCCCCTAAATCATACTGGATAAAATATTTTGAAACTGGTTTGTGACCCTTAGTTTATTATCCAACTCAGAACATAAATGAGATTTGTTTGAAAGTTGTAGAGACTGCAGAGCATGGATTTATTTCAGAGGAATTGTCTGCCTATTGTGCTTTTGGAGATAAACCTATATAACTTTAAACTATGTGAAGGAAAGTTCAAGATAAGTATTCGTGGACTTTGGCATGTGTGCATTGGAGATGGAATAGTTCAGGGAATGATTTCTGACTCACTTTTGAAATCATCTGTTTTGGGACTAAAGATCAAGAAAGGATGCTTAAGGATTTAGGGAACCAGACATAGACCCTGCAAAACAGGATCAACTATGAGCTATTTTGAAAAGAACCCCACACAAGAGATCCTTGTTCCCAGGGGCAGGTTGATATCAGCAGAACAATGTTGACATGTATATTTAGATAAGAAACCAAGGTATAGGTTGTAAACGTCAATTAGAAGGGGCATTTTTTACAACAAATGGCAGTTCAGCCATCCCAGATTACTACAGGAGATATAGAGAAGAAAGGGATCATGTGCCTTGATACCTACAGGCTTCCCAGGGGGAAGGAAGACCAAGTTAAGGAAGAGGGATATTTGAGAGTGTAGGGCTTTTTGTTTTTGTTTCTATTTTTTTGTTTTTTACTTTACACAGGACTGGATGTTTTAATGCCTAAAAATCATGTATTTCCTGAGAGTATATGAAAATGTAAAAGTTGATGAGGATGTGGTCCATGGACATGGGTAAAGATATTTCTCTTTTTGTACTGTAATACATACTGTGTGTATATATATATATATTTCAGATAAATTATGAAATTTATTTATATTTCACCATTTAAAAGCCAGAACATAACAAATTTTACTTTCTGGAAAGTCATCTTATTAGAAATACAGTGAAATGCCCTTAATACAAGGAAATCAGTTTCTTGGTACCACCAGTGAAATGGACACACTCTCATCCATTCCCTCAGATGAAGACTTTGTCAAATTTCCCTCCAAACTTAGACCTCTCAATTCAGGGAGGTCAGAGTGAACTTTTTCCAGAAATTACACTGAAGACACGGACCTTAATATTTAGGCCCTCCCAAGCAACATCACATTAGAAAAAGTTATTTTGCCCACAAAGGACCCTGTCTTTGCTGGTTACCAGGCATTCTTTTAACAAATACAATTCTTTTAACAAATATTTCCATGAACTGAACATGGAGCTTAACTCCTTGTAACAGTGGAGTTGAACAAATGGATTCAGTTAAGCTTGGTGGGATTTTTTTGTTTTTGGAAATTGATTTGAACACTCATCAGGTGATCTCGGAATCCATGAGCATGATGTTGGGAAGGTATCATAGAACAGATATTATCATCTGTGGTAGGCACAGAGATGCACCACCCAGAGCTCTCTTCAAGGAAGGACTTGTTGCCTGGTAGTAAGAAGTACATTCAGTGGACACCTCCTTTGGAGATTTCCTCAGTAAAGAACCACTTTGTCCAAAGTTACACCCTTCCCAGAAAAGTCTATATCTTATGTTTGAGCTAGGCACAGCCCCTTCTACCTGTTATGGAACAATCTGTGTGGCAGTAATTGTTCTAGAACTCTCTACCAGGTTGACCAAAGTTTTTTTTCACGTCTACATTATACTTTAGCTTCCTTCTTTTATTTCGCCTTCTTTCCACAGGTACTGATCCTTATCACCATGCACTGAAATCTGTCTCAGCACTTGCTTCTAGACAACCCACCAGCAATAACATGGTTAAGATGAGGTTTTAGAACTGGATTATTCATTGCCTGGCTGCAATGAAGACTATCAATGATGCAGGTGAAGCATAGATAGACCCCAATACAAAGTGACAGTTGTAAAAACATTCACCAGCATGACTTTTGATTACTATGAGCTCAAGCAAATAGTAGCCCCAATTGCACCTGTGATACCAGTTGCAGTATTTTCTTCCTGTAGCAATCTTGTATAACACAGGTAAGTTATAAGAGCCAGTGATTTGGTGGATAAATTATTTTCTATCCCAATTAGCAAAGAGGATAAGAAATACTTCAAATTTACATGGAAAGGAAAAAAATAAATAGATAAACATCTACAGTTATTGTCCCAGTCTATATTAACTCTCCCACCTTCTAACATAATAGAGTCTAAGAAAATATGGGGTATCTAGACATCCTGCAAAGTATTACACTAATCCATTACATTAATGACATTATGCTGACAGTCCGGATGAACAAGAGGTAGCCAGCAACTTGAAGCATTAGTAAGACATGTGTGCTGCAGAGGTGAAAGATAAACTCTATAGGTCTAGACACATGCATAAATTTTAGGAGTCCAGGAATCCAGTGCCCAGGGCAATATTAGATATGCCCTCTAAAGTTAAAGGTAATTATTATACTTTGAATCTCCTAGCATGAAAAGGATGAACATTACATGTAGAATCTCTTTGGGTTCTTTTTTTAAAAAATTTAATTTAACTTTATTATGTTATGTTAGTCACCATTCATTACATCATTAGTTTTTGATGTGTGTTCCATGATTCATTCTTTGTGTATAACACCCAGTGCTCCATTCAATATGTGCCCTCTTTAATACCCATCACCAGGCTAACCCATCCCCCCACCCTCCTCCCCTCCAAAACCCTCAGTTTGTTTCTCAGAGTCCATAGTCT